TAGGTACATTGTAGTACACGTGTCTCCTGGCAACCACCAACAGACAGCAGGTACATTGTAATACACGTGTCTCCTGGCAACCACCAGCAGACAGCAGGTACATTGTAGTACATGTGTCTCCTTGCAACCACCAACAGACAGCAGGTACATTGTAGTACACGTGTCTCCTAGCAACCACCTACAGACAGTAGGTACATTGTAGCACACGTGTCTCCTGGCAACCACAAACAGACAGCAGGTACATTGTAGTACACATGTCTCATGGCAACCACCAACAGACGGCACGTACATTGTAGTACACGTGTCTCCTGGCAACCACCTACAAACAGCAGGTACATTCATTGTAGTAAATGTGTCTCCTGGCAACCACCTACAGACAGCACGTACATTGTAGTACGCGTGTCTCATGGCAACCACCAACATACAGCAGGTATAATGTAGTACACGTGTCTCCTGGCAACCACCAACAGACAGCACGTACATTGTAGTACACGTGTCTCCTGGCAACCACCTACAGACAGCAGGTACATTGTAGTACACGTGTCTCCTGACAACCACCAACAGACAGCACGTACATTGTAGTACATGTGTCTCCTGGCAACCACCTACAGACAGCAGGTACATTGTAGTACACGTGTCTCATGGCAACCAGCAACAGACAGCAGGTATAATGTAGTACACGTGTCTCATGGCAACCACAAACAGACAGCAGGTACATTGCAGTACACATGTCTCCTGGCAACCACAAACAGACAGCAGGTACATTGTAGTACACATGTCTCATGGCAACCACCAACAGACAGCAGGTATAATGTAGTACACGTGTCTCATGGCAACCACCAACAGACAGCAAGTACATTTGTCTCTCAGGTTTAGCACTACTTTCAATGGGTCAATCATTATATTATACTTCGCCCTGGTTTAGTGCTAGCACTACTTTACCCTTGTTCAGTCCTTGTATTATACTTCACCCTGTTTCAATCCTTGCATTATACTTTACCCTGGCTCAGTCCTTGTATTATACTTTACCCTGGTTCAGTCCTTGCATTATACTTCACCCTGTTTCAGTCCTTGTATTATACTTCACCCTGGTTCAGTCCTTGTATTATACTTCACCCTGGTTCAGTCCTTGCATTATACTTCACCCTGGTTCAGTTCTTGTATTATACTTTACCCTGGCTCAGTCTTTGTATTATACTTTACCCTGGTTCAGTCCTTGCATTATATTTCATCCTGGTTCAGTTCTTGTATTATACTTCACCCTGGCTCAGTCCTTGTATTATACTTTACCCTGGTTCAGTCCTTGCATTATACTTCACCCTGGTTCATTCCTTGTATTATATTTTACCCCGGTTCAGTCCTTGCATTATACTTTACCCTGGTTCAGTGCTAGCACTACTTTCAGTGGTGCAGTCCTGGTGTTGTGTAAGATACTCAGGCCGTTGACCCGGGACTCGCTCACTGCTTGTTGCTATGAAGAGTTGGAATTAGTCAACAACACTCCCGTCACAAGACGGCTATCGTCTACAGTCATCACATAGTAATATCACTGCCTAATACCACAGCTCAGATATGCCAACAGTCTTGCTTTTTCAACGACATTTACTTATCTAACCATTATCGACTTGATACAGCCAAGATCTCGCGGTGCTCTATGCAAATCATACTTCTACGATGTACTGGAGCGCGTGTGGTGTGTCAAAGGGGGGTAAGCGAGGTTTGGTGGAGAAAAGATGAGCTTTGTATCATCACAATGATATATCACCAGTTGATAACTGCCAGGGAGTTGTTGCAAGGTTTTCACACCGCAGAACTAAGTCTATTGACCGGCAGTTCAAGAAAGACAGTAGCAGTCTATTTGTTCGCGTTGTTAGGAGCAAGCTCAGGTGTCATGGTCTCCATTGATTGCCGGGGCTGTCGGGGCAATCAGCGCGCACAACACATTGTTCAGCGGAATAACAACATCGGTTGTACTTTCAGGTCACGTGTATGTGCATATGTTGTACTTTCAGGTCATGTGTATGTGCATCTGTTGTACTTTCAGGTCATGTGTATGTGCATCTGTTGTACTTGCAGGTCATGTGTATGTGCATCTGTTGTACTTTCAGGTCATGTGTATGTGCATCGGTTGTACTTTCAGGTCATGTGTATGTGCATCGGTTGTACTTTCAGGTCATGTGTATGTGCATCGGTTGTACTTTCAGGTCATGTGTATGTGGATCGGTTGTACTTTCAGGTCACGTGTATGTGCATCGGTTGTACTTTCAGGTCATGTGTATGTGCATCTGTTGTACTTTCAGGTCATGTGTATGTGCATCTGTTGTACTTTCAGGTCATGTGTATGTGCATCGGTTGTACTTTCAGGTCATGTGTATGTGCATCTGTTGTACTTTCAGGTCATGTGTATGTGCATCTGTTGTACTTTCAGGTCATGTGTATATGCATATGTTGTACTTTCAGGTCATGTGTATGTGCATCGGTTGTTCTTTCAGGTCACGTGTATGTGCATATGTTGTACTTTCAGGTCATGTGTATGTGCATCTGTTGTACTTGCAGGTCATGTGTATGTGCATCTGTTGTACTTTCAGGTCATGTGTATGTGCATCTGTTGTACTTTCAGGTCATGTGTATGTGGATCGGTTGTACTTTCAGGTCACGTGTATGTGCATCTGTTGTACTTTCAGGTCATGTGTATGTGCATCTGTTGTACTTTCAGGTCATGTGTATGTGCATCTGTTGTACTTTCAGGTCATGTGTATGTGCATCTGTTGTACTTTCAGGTCATGTGTATGTGCATCTGTTGTACTTTCAGGTCATGTGTATGTGCATCTGTTGTACTTTCAGGTCATGTGTATATGCATATGTTGTACTTTCAGGTCATGTGTATGTGCATCGGTTGTTCTTTCAGGTCATGTGTATGTGCATCGGTTGTTCTTTCAGGTCATTGGTATGTGCATATGTTGTACTTTCAGGTCATGTGTATGTGCATCTGTTGTACTTTCAGGTCATGTGTATGTGCATCTGTTGTCTTTTCAGGTCATGTGTATGTGCATCTGTTGTACTTTCAGGTCATGTGTATGTGCATCTGATTCCAATGATAATTAAAGACAGTACTAAATATACAAGCTGTCCTTGTCATACACGTGACACTAGCCTCTGCCAGACCGAGAATTGGGACATTCCTTCCAAAGAGTGACATAACGTGGGCCATGTCTGTGTGTTTGTCTGTCTAGTGAGTCACGCGGTCTACCTGCAATGTATGTATGTACAGGCTAGTACTGGCTAGATAACACTGTCGAAGATATACACCTATACATCGAGGTATAAGGGTGAATATAAATAGAGGTTGGTACTCAAACACCGGCCAGATAACATTCTCTACATCGAGGTGTAGGGACTAGACAACATTGTCTTATAGAAACATCTATACATCGAGGTGTAGGGGCTGGACAACATTGTCTTATGGAAACATCTATACATCGAGGTGTAGGGACTAGACTACATTGTCTTTTAGAAACATCTATACATCGAGGTGTAGGGTCTAGACAACATTGTCTTATAGAAACATCTATACATCGAGGTGTAGGGACTAGACAACATTGTCTTTTAGAAACATCTATACATCGAGGTGTAGGGTCTAGACAACATTGTCTTATAGAAACATCTATACATCGAGGTGTAGGGACTAGACAATATTGTCTTATAGAAACATCTATACATCGAGGTGCAGGAGCTAGACAACATTGTCGTATAGAAACATCTATACATCGAGGTGTAGGGTCTAGACATCATTGTCTTATAGAAACATCTATACATCGAGGTGTAGGGTCTAGACAACATTGTCTTATAGAAACATCTATACATCGAGGTGTAGGGACTAGACAACATTGTCTTATAGAAACATCTATACATCGAGGTGCAGGAGCTAGACAACATTGTCTTATGGAAACATCTATACATCGAGGTGTAGGGGCTAGACATCATTGTCGTATAGAAACATCTATACATCGAGGTGTAGGGTCTAGACAACATTGTCTTATAGAAACATCTATACATCGAGGTGTAGGGACTAGACAACATTGTCTTTTAGAAACATCTATACATCGAGGTGTAGGGTCTAGACAACATTGTCTTATAGAAACATCTATACATCGAGGTGTAGGGACTAGACAACATTGTCTTATAGAAACATCTATACATCGAGGTGCAGGAGCTAGACAACATTGTCTTATAGAAACATCTATACATCGAGGTGCAGGGGCTAGACAGAATTGTCTTATAGAAACATCTATACATTGAGGTGTAGGGGCTAGACAGAATTGTCTTATAGAAACATCTATACATCGAGGTGCAGGGGCTAGACAACATTGTCTTATAGAAACATCTATACATCGAGGTGTAGGAGCTAGACAACATTGTCTTATAGAAACATCTATACATCGAGGTGTAGGGACTAGACAACATTGTCTTATAGAAACATCTATTCATCGAGGTGCAGGAGCTAGACAACATTGTCTTATAGAAACATCTATACATCGAGGTGTATGGACTAGACAACATTGTCTTATGGAAACATCTATACATCGAGGTGTAGGGGCTAGACATCATTGTCGTATAGAAACATCTATACATCGAGGTGTAGGGTCTAGACATCATTGTCGTATAGAAACATCTATACATCGAGGTGTAGGGGCTGGACAACATTGTTTATAGAAACATCTATACATCGAGGTGTAGGGTCTAGACATCATTGTCGTATAGAAACATCTATACATCGAGGTGCAGGGGCTAGACAGAATTGTCTTATAGAAACATCTATACATTGAGGTGTAGGGGCTAGACAACATTGTCTTATAGAAACATCTATACATCGAGGTGCAGGGGCTAGACAACATTGTCAACCATCATTAACATAGTAAAAGGCTGTTTGACAGATATATCGACTAAAAGGATGAACATGTTTGCAGCCACACTGTATTTAGCTGAACATTGAAACTTACTGCCAAGATGGGGCGACTGTACACCTCCCTGACGTAACGCCTGAGTAGCGAGCGTCTCCGAGCCAGGTCCGACCGATGAGGTCGCAGACGGCTGAACGCCCCGCGAGCTATCACAAGTATCCCAGCCCCGATCAACACAGGTCCCGCGTACCGTTCTTTGTTCTCATCTTGGTAATCCTCCAGATTCTGGAACGTCAGTGACGTTATGATAACACCCACCACCAACAGCATCATCCCCGAGATGATGTAGCACAGCGCGTTGCCCAGCAGGTACGTGCAGGGATTGCCCGTCGGGGGGTAGATACTGGCATCCATCGGCCGTCTCCAGGTGATCACTGTTTGCATCATCAGCCAACCTGCAGAAACAAGTTGAGAACAGCATACAGTGAGTGAGTGAGTGAGTGAGTGAGTGAGTGAGTGAGTGAGCGAGCGAGCGAGTTGGGCTTAACGTCGCTTTTAACAGTATTACAGTTATATCGCGGCGTGTCAGCTTAATGTGGGAGGAAAGCCCGAAGCGATGCAGGTCTCAGACGTTTACCACTTCGGTGAAACCCACGAGCACGGGTATAGTGCTGACAAACATAGAAACATAATCGGGGCGAACCAGGATTCGAACCTACGATCATAGGATTCTGGCGTGCCGAAGGGACGCAACTCTGCACAGCGAATCGCGGCGCCATCGACGACTGGGCGTCCCGTGCCCCCAGAACAGAATACAGAGGTTAATATATATGATATATACTTAACACGTTCATCTTCATATGGAGGTATATATAATTCATACTAAACACGTTCATTATCATATGGAGGCATGTATGATATACACTTAACACTTTCATCTTCATAAGGAGGTATATATGATCCATAATATACACGTCCATTATCATATGGAGGCAGGTATGATATGTACTTTACACGTTCATGATCTGAGTAGTTCACAGCAAGTGTATTTGGTCTGTTGAGGCCGTGTGTATATTAGCGACAGTCAGTTGAACGTGATAGGGGTCCAAATGGACACAGAAATGGAAAAGAACGAGTACCGAGCAGTCATCAAGTCTTTGACATTAGAGAAAAGTACTCCCCAGAAATGCATGACCGCGTGTCACAAGTATACGGGGATAAGTGCCGAAGCTATTCCACAGTTAAACGTTGGACAGCTGTTTAAGGCTGGGAGAACAAGCCTTGATGATGACCCTAGGTCTCGACGTCCCTCACCCTCCATCAATGAAGATTCAATCAAGGAGATAGAAAATTTTATACTCTCAGACAGACTATTGCTGACTATTGCTGAACTTGAGGAAGACACAGGTCAAAGCCATGGGTCCAATGAAACTATTATTCATGAAAATTTACAGATCAATAAAATATATGTTCGTTGGTACCAAAGTTTCTAAGTTCTGATTTTATGAAAAAAATTAACTTATTTAGAGCTAATTGAGGAGGATTTCGTCAAATTCAAAAAGAGATTACTAACGGGTGATGAAACATGGGGCTACCACAATTATTCCGAGTCAAAACGTCAATCCATGGAATGACTCCATTCCACTTCTCCGGACCAAAGAAATTCAGGTCTTCAAGATCAATGAAGAAAGTTATGACCACTGTATTCTGGGATGCAAAGAGTGTGATCCTTGTTGATTATTTAGAAAGTCAAAAGACGATTACTGGTGCCCACTTTGCTGATTTGCCTCATCGTCTGGGAGATCCTATCAAAGAAAAGCGCTAGGAATACTGACTGCAGGAGTTCTACTCTTTCATGACAATGCCTCTTCTCACACCTCTCGACCTGCAAAGGCTGCTGTGCGACAATGTGGGTTCGAAGAGCTTCCACACACCCCATTCTCGCCAGACCTGGCACCAAGTGATTTCCGACTGTTTCCTCAACTGAAAGAACACCTTCGTGGAAAATGCTTTGACGACAACGATGACCTCAAAGCCTCCGTGAATGGGTTTTTCAGGGTGGTTTCAGAAAACGTCTAATTCACATAATTGGTGTGAAATATGTTACATATAATTCAAATACCACGTATGCCAGTCAGAACGGTTATTTCAGCATTACTTGTGTCACGGGAATAATGACAGCCTGCCCCTTGCTTCATGCAACTGTAGCTTGGCGACAGAGCGGGAAAACTAAACTGATGTTACAGTACCCAACAATCAGAATAAGGCCGGCGTGAACGCTGTGATCGCATTCTTCTTATTGACGTACTGTCCTCAATGACCTAGAATCTAAAGATGTGGTGATGACCTGGAATCTAAAGATGTGGCGATGACCTAGAATCTAAAGATGTGGCGATGACCTGGAATCTAAAGATGTGGCGATGACCTAGAATCTAAAGATGTGGCGATGACCTAGAATCTAAAGATGTGGCGATGACCTGGACTCTAAAGATGTAGTGAGGACCTGGACTCTAAAGATGTAGTGAGGACCTGGACTCTAAAGATGTAGTGAGGACCTGGACTCTAATGATGTAGTGAGGACCTGGACTCTAAAGATGTAGTGAGGACCTGGAATCTAATGATGTGGTGATGACCTGGACTCTAAAGATGTGGTGATGACCTGGACTCTAAAGATGTAGTGAGGACCTGGACTCTAAAGATGTAGTGAGGACCTGGACTCTAAAGATGTGGTGATGACCTGGACTCTAAAGATGTGGTGATGACCTGGACTCTAAAGATGTGGCCAATACCTGGACTCTAAAGATGTAGTGAGGACCAGGAATCTAAAGATGTGGTGATGACCTTTAATCTAAAGATGTGGTGATGACCTTTAATCTAAAGATGTGGTGATGACCTTTAATCTAAAGATGTGGTGATGACCTAGAATCTAATGAGGTGGCGATGACCTGGAATCTAAAGATGTGGCGATGACCTGGACTCTAAAGATGTAGTGAGGACCTGGACTCTAAAGATGTAGTGAGGACCTGGACTCTAAAGATGTAGTGAGGACCTGGACTCTAAAGATGTAGTGAGGACCTGGACTCTAATGATGTAGTGAGGACCTGGACTCTAAAGATGTAGTGAGGACCTGGAATCTAATGATGTGGTGATGACCTGGACTCTAAAGATGTGGTGATGACCTGGACTCTAAAGATGTAGTGAGGACCTGGACTCTAAAGATGTAGTGAGGACCTGGACTCTAAAGATGTAGTGAGGACCTGGACTCTAAAGATGTAGTGAGGACCTGGAATCTAATGATGTGGTGATGACCTGGACTCTAAAGATGTGGTGATGACCTGGACTCTAAAGATGTGGTGATGACCTGGACTCTAAAGATGTGGTGATGACCTGGACTCTAAAGATGTGGCCAATACCTGGACTCTAAAGATGTAGTGAGGACCAGGAATCTAAAGATGTGGTGAGGACCAGGAATCTAAAGATGTGGTGATGACCTTTAATCTAAAGATGTGGTGATGACCTAGAATCTAATGAGGTGGCGATGACCTGGAATCTAATGATGTGGTGATGACCTGGAATCTAATGATGTGGTGATGACCTTTAATCTAAAGATGTGGTGATGACCTTTAATCTTAAGATGTGGTGATGACCTTTAATCTAAAGATGTGGTGATGACCTGGAATCTAAAGATGTGGTGATGACCTTTAATCTAAAGATGTGGTGATGACCTGGAATCTAATGATGTGGCGATGTGCTACAATGATGACCTAAAATCAGAGGTTTTAAAGTGATAACTCAGAAGCTGATGAAGCAGCGATGACTCAGAATGACGACAGAATAATGACCTGAAAGCTGCTGCTGCAGGGATGGTCCTGATTCTGATGACATATTGAATGGGAGGCCCTTTAACCTCTGTTCATATTGTCAGTACAAGCGGAGTATGCCCAACTGCTGTGCTGGCTCTATTAACGATTAAGAAAATAACATGAGTTATGTATGTGTGTTATGTGTTACAGTGTTATGTATGGTGTGTATGTCCAATGTCTTGATGAAACTCAAAATTGATTATTGTTTGTGAGCGCATGACGCTGTATAAACTGTTGGCCTTCACCATCTGCCATGACAGCTTCAGCCAAGTACCGACCGCAGATAGACTATCGATTACGATGGCATAAACTTAATGGAAAATACTTTGACGAGAGTACAGTTTATGGCACTGACAAACATAAAGCCGCATTTATATTTCGCTCATGTTTCATTTATGACCTTCATTTATCCTAATAAAAGGGGGCTCTCCAAGCCTGCTCCAACCACATCCAAGTGGTCTGAGTAAGTTTTCTTCCAAGCCGTTGGTCGTGGTTTGGCTGCCTTTTTTTCATCATTTCTGTGTATATTGTGTAACGAAAAATATGAACGGTTCAGATTGTCCTGAATACCCCGCCATGACTCAAAACGTTATGGGAACATAGCTGGTGCAGTCGGACTGATGAGGCTATGTGTCACGAGGCTATGTGTCACCAGGCTATGTGTCACCAGGCTATGTGTCACGAGGATCTGATGTAGTCTTTCTAACAAACAACATATCGCTTTGGTTCAGAGTCTCCCCACTAACACAGCACGAGAGAAGGCTGGTGTCCCCACCAACACAGCACGTGAGACAGCTGGTGTCCCCACCAAAACATCACGTGAGTCAGCTGGTGTCCCCACCAACACATCACCTGAGTCAGCTGGTGTCCCCACCAACACATCACGTGAGTCAGCTGGTGTCCCCACCAACACATCACGTGAGTCAGCTGCCCACCAAACACATCACGTGAGTCAGCTGCCCACCAAACACATCCCTTGAGTCAGATGGTGTCCCCACCAACACAGCACGTGAGACAGCTGCCCACCAACACAGCACGTGAGACAGCTGGTGTCCCAACCAACACATCACGTGAGACAGCTGTCGTCCCCACCAACACATCACGTGAGACAGCTGGTGTCCCCACCAACACATCACGTGAGTCAGCTGCCCTCCAAACACATCACGTGAGTCAGCTGGTGTCCCCACCAACACATCACGTGAGTCAGCTGCCCACCAAACACATCACGTGAGTCAGCTGCCCACCAAACACATCACGTGAGTCAGCTGGTGTCCCCACAAACACATCACATGAGTCAGCTGGTCTCCCCACCAACACAGCATGTGAGGCAGCCGCCCACCAACAAAGCACGTGAGACAGCTGGTGTCCCCACCAACACAGCACGTGAGACAGCTGTCGGCCCCACCAACATATCATGTGAGAGAGCTGGTGTCCCCACCAACACAGCACGTAAGACAGCTAGTGTCCCCACCAACACATCACGTGAGGCAGCTGCCCACCAACACATCACGTGAGTCAGCTGGTGTCCCCACCAAGATATTACGTGAGTCAGCTGCCCACCAACACATCACGTGAGACAGCTGCCCACCAAC